TCTTTCATATGGAGACGCCAACACTTGCGGAAAGAGAGTTGCAAATATTGTCTAATACTTACTGCGATGAAGGAGTCCGTATTCATTTTCGAGTTAGCAGCTACTGTGACACGGGACATAGGTTTATACGTTCTCATCCGAAAGACCTGTATCCACGTTCCACAGTGGAAGTAGAACCCGCAACGTAAGGATCGATTCCTTCGCGACTCTAGAACAGACGCTCTAACAACTGCGCCACGCGTGCGACAGGCTTGATAGTCATCCCCATACATACTGTTTTTAAATGAATGAAACAAAAACAACTGTTGAATCATTTCAGTTTCTTTGGGGTTGATGGGGGATAAAGTTCGTTGGAAAGCATTTATGTTCATTCGTTGGGTAGTTGTGGGTAACTTAATTTCATTGAACTCAATTCGATAAAAAAAAATTGACAAAATATTGTTTCTTCAGGAACAATAACGATTTCACATTAGTAGATATCTTTGCCAAATGTGCAACTTTGAACATTTCAATTCTTGAAAATGTTGATAAATGCCACAGCTGTGTAAACTCAGTTCTTATCATTAGAATGTATGCCTAATTGCAAAAATATCTTATATGTAATGGTACTGTAATGGTTTGGGCCGTTGATATCGGCCTAAATACTCATTTGGTAAAAACTTGATTTAAATTCAGGGGTCCCGGATTTGATTCCAGGTACACAATGTACCCTACATAACTCCTCCAAGTACATGCTTCCTTTGTACGGACTATGAATCGTGGACATTTCATTTACGCCGGCCATTAATTCTAGGTCACCAACAGCACTTGTTGACACTTGGTTGCTTGGGGTTTTCTCGTAAGTTTTGTATACAAAATAAACATCACAATCTTCTTTTCTTTCCTTTTTTGGAGAGCATTCATCAACTTCGTACAAATCTGCATAATCATGTGCATTAGTGCGATACACTGCAAATTCCACACACGAGCAGAGATTGTACAGGGAAGTCCCAAAAGGAAAAGAACACGACCTAAAGTAAATGAAGTCCCATGAATTCAATATACGTCATATTACACTAACATTTCTCAATGTTCAAGGTAATGTTCAAGGTAAGTCCCCGATAACACAGTCATCTAGTCGTCTGTTATTTTCATCTGTGGTTTAACCATTACCAAAATGTCATCGAAAATGCTTTGAACACAATCACATACATCACGTGTCTGCTATATTACATGTATCTTGTACATTTCTGGCGCACAACTTATACCAAACATTAGACGTTTAAAGTGGCATCAAACGCTTTCTCGTGGTAGGCTAGCTTATTAATGATTTTAAGTAGCTGGAAATTTCATTTTTTAATTTTTTCAGCTGTTACCATGGCAACCGATGAACAAAGCAAATAAAATTTATTTGATATATGTTTGTGGTGTCAAGTACTGAGAATGGGTTAAGTTTCATCAAAATCGGTGACCATGAATGGCAACGAAGTTTAAGGAGGCTAGGGGTCAAAAAAAATAAACACCAGATTTAACTTAATTTTTCTTTAAATGATATCTAAAGCTGTCAACTATCACATGTATCACTTGGCAAAGAAAAATTTCTAATTTTTTTGTTTTTAAATTTGATCATTTTTCTATTTCTTCATATTGAGCCCTTCTTCTAAAGGAGATCAATATAATCTAAAAATTGCTACAAATCCCCAGCCCATTTAAATTGTTACAGAGAATGGCTCTTAAAATGTCCATATTTTATTTGAGATACCTGTATCAATAGTGCTGTGACTACGTCAGTATAAGCTTCAGTAATCATTTTTACAGTAAACAAGAATAAGAGGAAAATAAAGCATCATATATAACATGCATTTAATAGTAAATGATTTTTATATGCAAATTTTATAATTTTGTGTCCAATAGATTAAACATACATTGTATTTATTTACTAGTACATCATATTCTCATTCTACCCATAAAAGCAAATTATTATTTCAAAGTTACACTGGCTATATCAATACAATTAGATACAGACCCTAAACCGTGCTACTACACCACTTGAATGGTACGGTTCGGTACGCTTTGTGCACTGTACAGTACACTTTGTGCACGGAGCGGTTCGCTTTGTGCACGGAACGGTACGCTTTGTGCATGTAACGGTTCGCTTTGTGCACGGAACGGTACGCTTTGTGGAAAGGTAAGTTTCGTTTCTTGCACGAAACGGTTCGTTTTGTGAACGGTACGCTTTGGGAAACGGTATGCAAATGACGTGGGCGGAGCCTGTTAGCTAAATAATTCTTGATTGGCTGCTAAAAATTAATTCATTCTAAATGACTTTTGAAGTTTTTAATGCACGTATATAATTATATTTCCGCTATTAACAAATTAATTTATCGGTTTCAATTTAAACATAAATTTACGCTACAGCAGTGATGAAGGAAATATTAAAAAAATGAAAGGAAGAAAAAGCATCATCCCACTGATGTCTTTGGCATTATGTACTGATATGTATCAAAATATAGAACTCGTAATTTTTTCCGTGCTGATTTTTTACGTATGTTGAACCTTCATTTTAAAAAGGATAAAAAAAAATAGATGAAATATTTTTTCACTTTAAAATAAAGTTTTAACATAATTAAAAGGAATTAAAGGCTGCCTCCCCCCCAATTTTTTCCCCAGCATTACCTTTACTATAGGAAATGTACATTGAAGGGATAATTGACCCCCACACTTTTTGACCGTAGCATAGTGATATCAAAGAATTGTGGGGGGAAATTGGAATTGAAAGTAACTTGGCTTTGAAAAAGTTAGCCACTACCCCTCCCCCCCCCCCCCCGGGAATAGGATTTTTAGCAACTTCTTTTAATTTTAGTTTTTCTTTCCTTTTTTTTTTACTTGTCAAATTTTTCAGGAAAGTAAAAAATTATTTTCTCTGGTTTGCCCCCTCCTCCCACTCTCAAAAACAATGCTACGTGCATGAATAAAAAAAAAGTAGAGACAACCAGGGAATTGATTCATGAAAGCTTGTTCTATCTAAGTGGTATTACAGTCTATTGAACCTATTTTTATGTTAAGAATAATTATAGGATTATGAAACATGAATGTACATGACTGTATACATTAAAAGAGGGTTTTTACCCCGGGCAAGAGCACGATTATATTGAATTTTGGGGCATCTTATAATATTAGCTTAAATATCTTATAGTTAAATTACGAATATTTAAATACAACTAATATTTCAAAAGGAAATTGATTTAATTTGCTAATATAAAGAAAATGAAAGACTTCAAAGATGCCGACATTGTTCGAGGTCCACTGTGCCCCGTACGTGTTTTGCGGGAAAAACTCGTGGCCTGTACTGTACCTTTGACCACAAACACAACCAGTTGATCTAATTTATAGCAAATAAGAAATCGTCTCACACTCTGTCTAGTAGTTTTAAAGTTGTAGTTTGCTTCGAGTAGTTTCCTTATTTTTACAGTTCAAGGCCCAAACGCATGATACTTGATAATGTTGTTTAATTTCGAACAGGCAGACACAACCTCCGTTCCTCCTTTCACAGGCGCCGTAGCGAGAGAAAAAACCAAAATGACTTTTTTGGTCATTACACGATTCAAAAATCATTGGGGGCGTGGTTTGCATAATTAACCAAAGAACCGTACGGTCCGTTTCTTGCACGGAACGGTAGGCTTTGTGGACGGTGCGGTACGCTTTGTGAACGGAACGGTTCGCTTTGAGAACGGTAAGGTACGTTTTGTGCACGTAACGGTTCGCTTTGTGGACGGAACGGTACGCTTTGTGCACGGAACGGTTCGCTTGTGCACGGAACGGTACGCTTAGTTCACGGTACGGTACGCTTTGTTCACGGTACGGTACGCTTTGTGGACGGAACGGTACGGTTCGTTTCTGAGGTGTAGTAGCACGGTTTAGGGTCTGTATAAATGACGATTATTATCGATTGAACATATTTTAAAAACTTTTTAGTTGAACACATTTCTTTCTATATATAAAAAGTACATTGAAATTGAATACAGGGTCTAGACGATTAAACTATTTTGGAACCAGGAACACATCGACGTTTTATCAGTACATTTCTCCACTAAAACTGATGTAGAGATTTTTCTCAATTTATTTAACAAAAATGATTAATATTTTGGGGGGTTGAAACCGTGATCACTGCAATAAAATGAAAGCAAATCCTCCAGAGAAAAGGCAAAGTTTACATAGTTAATTGCATTTTCTCCCAATTTTTCTGTTGCACTTATAATTAGTTAATTTAAAAAAGAAGATAAAAAGGTGTTAATTTGACCACATTTTTGCATTGAATTTTCGCAGTGAATTTTCATTTTCATAGACGATATTAAAAACTGCCTAAATTTTGAAATTCATTTTTTAAGCATTTAGTTTCAATTGCTTTATATATTAAAATCTACTGGTAAAAATATGTTGCCTTGATTTCATTTTAAAAGGCAAATTTATGTTGCTCATCTAGTTTATCTTTGTTGAAAACAAAGACACAATTTTTAAAATCAAATTCCTTATATAAATTGTATAAGTGCAGATGCATAATGCTTAATAAAATTTTTCGAATTGTCATAGTTAATCTCTGTCTTTTCTAACTGGTGCCTTTGAATGAAATACGGTTCGTTTTGTGTGCATCCTACAGGAGATTGTGGGAGCCATTGATATCCAGGATTTTGCTGTGTACTACTTGTTGATGTACTTCAAACCCTTCCTTTGAAAACTGGGCAGTTGGTGGAGTGTACGTGTACCCCAAATCAGAACTTGTTGGTGTGGTTCCAAACCCTTCTTTTGAATATAGTGCAGTTGGTGGAGCATATGTGTACCGCGCACCAAAACTTGTTGTTGTTCTTCCAAACCAATCTTTAAAATACAGGGCAGTTGGTGGAATATATCTATACCCAACACCAGAATTTGACGGTGTACTTCAAAACACCTCCTTTGAAAACTGGAAAAATGGTGGAGAAGACGAATACATGTACCCCATATAAACACTTGGTGGTGAGCTTTCAATCCGTTTCGAACATAGTATCTTCAGGGTGAAGATAACCAAATATTTCAGCAATTTGCTCTCGCCTAATACTTCCCTGGAGTAACCCTGGAGCTCTTGGTAAATATTGGTCTTGGAAATCCAGATAACTTGATGATTGATACTTTATTATGGCTGTGGTATCTTTGCATCTAAGAATGTCCTTGTTATGTTGAATAATATAATCAATTTCCTTTTTAGCTTTTTTTCTCAAAGAGTCGCTTTCTTTGCATTTCTTCACTGCTTCTTCCTTTTGTTTGGTTACGTTGTCTTTGAGATGAATGCTCATTTCATACACGGCTTCGCAGATTTTATTTTCTTGTTCTTCTATGGCATGCAGAATTTTGTCAAAGTCTGCAGTAGTTGTAGATGAGATGACATCTCTGCACTTTGAAACAATAACATTTTCCAGTTTTTGAATATCGGCTTTAATTTGCTGTGTTTGTTTTTGAAGAAAATTATTTATTTCGATAACTTTATGTCTCTTGTGTGAATCTATCAGGCACTTAATACATATTGGTATTTTACAGTCTTGGCAGTACGCTTCACATTGTTTTTTCTCATGTGTGGAACATGTTGGAAGAACAAAAGTGTCTATTTTCCTTGAAGTATATCCAACAACTTCATGTTCTCTTGATTGGTCTGCCATATGTTTTGCTATGCAGGAAGGGCAAAGATCCACATGACAAAGATTGCAATGATGTTTCACAGGGTTGGAACACAACTGACAACAAATGATGTCCTTGCCTTGGGTGGTGGCCATATCTATCGTGAATTTTTTTTATTATACATTTTGATATTATGCTTATGTATGCATCATTTCTTGAGGTGCTTAATAATGTTTTACTATAAACACGTCTGCTAAACAAACGGATGAATTAATTAAAGTAGTTGTACAAGGAAGTTAAAATACATATGTACAAGATACATGAAATATGATTTTAAGTTTTAATGATTATAGGTTCAACATCTAATTGTTAACATTAAACAGATAGCATTAGAAAGACTCAATTGCATACTTACTGTTTCCTGTCAATTCTTTATAAAAATCAGCATTTATTTTACTTTCGTTTTAAGCTAGTGTAATGAATTAACCGGACCAGTACACAGCTTGATATTCTTGTGTTCAAGCGTAGTTGAGTGATTTAAATTTTCTATGCTTGAAACTGTGTTATCTTTTGAAAAGAACCAGTTATTGTATACTCAAGCACATATTGTCCTATAAAATGTCTGTTTCCAATTACAGTTTCTTCCTTCAACTTTTTTTCTTGTTTTTGTTTATTTATGATATTATAATACCCGTGTTTTATCGTGTATAATCTAACTGCACTAAGAGATCCACTATGACGTCAATGACTCGATGGACGCGCAGTGTAGTGGATCAATCTATTCCGTAATTTCATAATATTTGCAAGAAAGTTTTAATCATTTTAGATATTTTTATACAAGATGGTGAACTCCAACAAACAGTCAAAAAATTGTACAAGTAATAAGGCTTCAATCTTGTTTTGTGCATATTTTATCAGAGATGATGACGTAATTAATTTAAGTCGTAAGACAATACATCCTTCGTCCCCTTAATATATATTTTTGTAATGATATAGAACAGATATTTTCATTTTGAAAATACATGTCCATGTATCGTATGTGTGTGTTTGAGCTGCTAATACCTATCGGTTAAACATTGTCTGAATTAAATTTCATTTTAAACAAATTACATCTAATTTTTGGAATCAAGGTATATTTAAGTTTTAGGATTAATGACTTTCAGAAAGAAAATTGAAAAACAATCTCCATGCATATGACTACAATTTTCAAATAAAAATGAAAGA